AGAGCCAATTCCAGCCTAGCCTTGAGTGCCTCCAGGGATGGAACATCCACAACGTCTCTGGAAAACCTGTTCCATCTGAGTAAAAAACTTCCTCCTAATATCTAGCCTAAATCTCCCATCTTAGTTTAACATCATTCCTTATCCTGTCAGTATCAACTGATGACCTGGTCAAGACCTTCATATTCGAGGCATGTTGCCTGTGCTGCCTCCAAAGTATAGTTGTTGTCATGGGTTGTTGAAATCACAGCTTTTATCTTCAAGGCTTTAATTTTCATTTCCCCTATTAGTTTTAAATAAATACAGCCAAATGGGGAGGGAACAAAACAAAACAAAATAAAAAACTCTAAAATTTAGGGCAATCTCCTGGATTATTACAATCCAATGAGACTGGACATTTTAGGAGCAGTTCTTCTAACCTAAACAGCTATTTTAACAGTGACAGGTAATGGTGATCCAAAAACAAGGAGCAATGAAGCAAAAGCTAGAAAATGCTTCTACTTTTTTGTGCCTCCATTCAGGAAACCCTCTGCTTCTGCCTGTTGCTTCCTGCACTTCTCTCTACTAGACTAGACCTGTCTAGTAGAGCATGCATTCAGCGGTTTTGTACAGCTTCATGGAAATTGCCTCTGCTGTGACTCAAACCTTTCCAGATCCAGTCATCACTTTGTTAGTGTCAGACATTCAACTCATTCACAGCCCTCTGATGTGGGGAGCTGAGGTCTAGAAAAGCAACAGCTTCTTCCCAAAGTGGTTGGCACTGTAGTCAGGTGTGTATGTGGTTCTTGTAAGCTACTGGAAAGTTTTTCCAGGGAAAGGTAATTACTTTTATTGGCTCACAGTGGCTAATGCAACCAACGCAAGAACATAATGAACAGTCTTGTGAGTTCATCTTTCTCTGTGGCATCATACGCTTGGGTCAGGTATCACAGAGGTTTGGTTAACTGATACAACAGTGGGTACCTTGCCAGATCTTTGAGCCTTTGAACCTGTTCCTCTTCCTAACAGTAACTTGGCAGAGAGCTGATGCTAATGTTTACCAAGTTACAGTACAAAAACACAAAGTATTAGATTACTGATCACATTGTTGGTTTCACCTGTGCTTCCAGGTGACCCTTAACAAAAATATAAAATAAAAAATAAAACAAAAAAATATTTGTAATTGCTGCCTCATAAGACTGCCCCATGAACAAACAGAATAACTGCCTTGGGATCTCAGGGACAAGGAGACATGGTCTTCCTGAATGTGCAAGGGAAGAATGTTTGAGACAATCTCTCTTTTCCCTTAGCATTACTACATGTTAAAATCTAAAGATCTTTCTGTGCTTAAGCCATGATTTTGGACCCGGGCAGACTGCAGAGGGACAGGTTAGAGGAGATTAATATCTTGTCCTTCCAGGAAACAGCTTTAAGATTTCACACGACCTACACATTCCTACAAAGGATGAGGGAAGATACCAGCCCCGTTTACCTCAGTACCACTCTGACAAGGCATCTCTTCAGTTAATGTAACTCCAAGGACAACAAACACGATATGAGTCTATTCCAACTGTCCTGAATATCAACCAACAAAAACGAGTTACAGCTTGATTCTGCCTCGGATAATGTATGAGTTAAATTAGTTCGAAAGTATTAACGTTTTTCAAAATCGTAAGTGATTTGTTTTGTGCCAATAAATATCTCTTCACAGCAGGCCAAGAAGAGCGATCACATAAAACCTTGCCAGTGCTGCTATAATCAGCATTGCTTTTACCTGCACTGACGCTGAGTTCAGGGCACTTATCCCCGTGTAACTGTTTCACTTACGCAAACAACATAATCCAGATTTCATAAGAATGAATAGGCTGAAAGTTCTTATGCTTGTTGCCATAGTTACTTGAAATCTGCTGTTAAAAAGGGAAGGAATGAAGACAGAGAAGGAAAAAAAGTAGGAAAAGAAAATATTGATATCACGGCTAGGGTTAGGTCATATGATAAGGATATAGTGATGACCTTGAAGGAACAGAGTCTTGGTGATGACACTAAAGAGTGTGCTATCCGGCAGCCCATCTTTCTGCACTTTGTTTGCTGTTGGGTTGATCTTATGGACATCGTTTTTTTTATAAGTGGTTACCACAAGGGCAAAATGCATGCACTGGCTGCTACTGGATTGGCAAATGGAGAAAGGGATTGGGTGAAGAGAAGAATTCTTTCACAATTTATTTACTAAAAAAATGGTGTCAACTTTCATTTCATTTTACAAACATAGGGAAATTTGGAGCAATGCCTTGTTCAAACAGAATAAACTTCTTAGTCTCTGTTTAAGATAAAAGCAGAAATATTCAAGTTCCATAAAAGCAGAACTGCAGATGCATTGTTAGCTAGTTAGCATTTTTCTTCCCCAAAAGCACATGGAACCAAAGTGTATTGTGAGATATGCGCTGAAAGAGTATCAAAAGAGTAACTGTATGAATCTTTTGCTATCACCACATTATATTGTTGGCAGTCCATCCTCTTACCATAAAGAAACAGTTGTACTCATAATGGCTTTGTGCTAAGCCAACCTGTGAACGTATCACTGTTGCTATTCACTATTTCATCTTTTCATTCCTGCTGTTCTTCACTCCCTTCACTTTCTTATAACTGGCATGTAAAGCAGCAACGTGTATGCAGCCAGTGTAAAATTGGCTTGTCTACACCAGAAACACACATAAGTGAATTAAGCACATTGGATGCCTTATGTATTAGACCACATTTATACTTCGTATTGACATTCATGGAGAGAGCTAAGGGAAAGCACTGGAGTAGTTGGAAGGCTCCTCTGTCCTAATCCAGCACGGCATTTTCTAAACACTTCTACTTCAAAGCCTCTCTCAGCCCCAAAGAGTTAATTTGCCTGTCCTTGTCATCTTCCCTCAGTCTGTAACATGGCTGAGAATCTTTCATCCTTTCCCCCCCCAGTTCTCTGTGCTGCTGTCCTTGCTCAGACATCACCATTGTGCTTTGTATGGAAAACAAATGATAACCTAGAATGCTATAAGAGACTACATTATATTAGGAATGCGTTTTCTTGGAGAACTATATTGGCAGTAGTCTCAGTAAATAACGTTTTCTGCTCTTTTCAGAGTAGGAAGAACTCACTCATATAGCAACCAGAGAAGCAAAGTGAAAAAAAAGAATGTACTGAATACAGCAGCAGTAACCGAAATGAATATGTAACACGTGGCATTTGTGGGAAGTTGAGCCAAATTCACTGCAGCTGTCACTACCCTAATTAAAGAAATCTTGCAGGCAATTTCTTCTCTTCCGGCCCTACAATTACAGTTATTGCTTTTTTTGTAATTTATTACTGTGCTACCAAATGGCCTCCACGTTTGAATTATAAATCAGCAAACTTCCAGAACAAGGATAATTAATGTCACAACAGCAGAAGAAATCACAAGCTATTTTAATGCTACAGCAAATAATTAGCCTCAGTCTCCTCTGGAAGAAGAGAGTCAAGAGATCTCGACCTCAGTCTGGGAGGCAGGAGGGCATGACAGAGACCAAGAGCATCACTGGTACTGCCACCCACCCAGCTTCCCAAAGGTGCCACATTCCCTAGCAGCAGTCTGGCAGAACTTACTCAGAAAGGTGACAAATTCCTTTCCATCTGATGACGTGAAACAAAGCAGCAACTGAGGTGGCAGCAAGACAGAAAAGGCTACTGTGGTTCCTCATAATGGTATCATGAAGTAGGAACAGTAGACTCAGGGAAGGGCTTGGAATCATAGTGGAACAGGTTTCTAGTGAAGGAGGTATCCCACTGCTGAAAAGTTACTGGGATTAAGGCAAACTGTGAAATTAAAATAAATAGCTGTTCCAGAAAAACAGCATGTAGAGACAAGCCCTGTAATGCAAACACTGAGCGCAAGCTTCAGATTAGCGTTAATCAGTTAAACGGGAGTAGCTCCCCACTTTTATTCAGCACAACCTGAGTGAAAAAAGGGAAGCTATCATCTCCATTAAGTTGTTCAGATTTCATAATTCAAAGACCTCCAGTTTCTCTAAAATGTGCTTGTTTCAGGTTGCTCCAAAATCCTATCCTCAAAATGCTCAAATGCCAATGTCTTTCGGTATTCTGCACTAGAGGAACTGGCACCTGCTATTCACTCCTGTACAACTCCAATATGAAAACCAATATGAAAAACTTAAGCCTTGCCCCAGTAAATGGCTAGAGATATAAAAGGAAAAAAGTAGAAGGAAACACATGAGATACAGTGCAGGCTGCTACACACTAGGAAAATGAAAGGAGATACGCTTGTAAATGCTATTCCCTCTTTAATGAACTCTAGTAAATGTATCTGTAAGTAATTTCCCTTTCCACAAACAAGTTCATGCAAACTATTAAGTGTTAAGGCAAGCAGTTACACTTGCCTGCATTTATCTCACTACCCATATTAAGAAGCTTAACATTTCTCCTCTATGATGAAAAAAAATTAAGAGATAGGAGATACCTTCTGTGACCATGCAACAGTACTGGAGGGGCAGCTTAATGCAGTAACTTCTCAAAGCAGCAAGTAGCTTTAGCAAGTTGTCAGTGTTTGCTTTACTCATCTAGCAGGGCATGCCTCATTTGACTACTGTATACTTGCCACACTGTTCAGCTATTATGCTATTAGGAACAACACAACACTAGTCTACAATTCAATTCTTTCAGCCTGCCTTTAGTATAGTCTGCATTATTACAGTATAGGTAACCAAAAGAAACATGTTGCATGTTACATAGCTGAGTAACTAGTACAAATTCAACACTGTCTATTGCAGCTGTACCACTCAGTCAAATCCTCAGCTCCTTTCTCCTAAGGAAAAAGGAAGTTTTAGATAATAGGATCGAGAGGATATTTGCCTTGATTCACTACATGCAAAGGATAATGCCATTTATTTTTTCTAGTCTGTTTTTGCTCCATGCCATCATAGTAACAGATTTTCCCTCCTAAGATTTCATTTTAAGATTTGATATCACAGTATGATAAACAGAACTGTTCACAATTTGAGATGGTTTATTGCCATTTGGAATATGTTTTATTGTTCAAAACACTGCACCAAAATAAATCCCACCATGTACATTCTTTGTCATCTACATTTTTAACAACAATGTAACTTTCAGGCAGGTCATGCATGAAAATCACTCTTCAGTGACATAAACAAAAACTAATGAAAGGCACCTTGTGTCCTTCACATCCCAGACTCAAGTTAAGTAAGTTCTTGACTGAATAAAGATTACATACATCTAGAACTCAAGCAGTAGTAAAACAAATTAGAATAACCTGGAAAACAGTATCAGACTTTGTAGAATAGATTGATGTGTACAGATTCTACAGATCTGTAGAATTTGATAGAATTCAGTGCTATGCTTTTGCTTTTCACCATCTTTAAGTAATGTGCAACTTAAAAATTGTTACCTATATGTCTCTTTACTGAGACAAGGCATGCAGTAAGAGGGAAAGCTGGCTGCTTCCAGGCTGTGTGTCTGCACATTTGTTCTTGGAGATTAGCAAGCCACTGCTTAAGTTAAATAAAAAAAAAAAAAAAAAAAAAGAGACTAGGAATGAATGCACCCAAGTTAAATGGCTTTTAAGTATATGTTAATGTATAGAATAATACCACCTACAGTTCTGTTTTACTGACCTCTGTTCCAGTTAATTTGGAAACAAGTTGGTGAAGCCATCACAAGCTATTTTATTTTCATAATAAGAAATTTGTTTTCAAATAGTGCTGGTTGTTTGAGTAACAAACTCAGAAGGGTAGTTACTAAGGACAAATAAGGCAACAAAACATTAGAAGCAGTGGTTCCCATTGCTGTATAGTACTTTTAAAAAGGCAAGATAAAAATTAGAAATATTATTGATGGGGTCATTCACAACAGGTGCTTTTGTTTTATCCCCATTGTCTTTGTCACAGCAACTGTAGATGGCAGATCTTCCTTGGTTGTAATTCAGGATGACCATATTCCTTGGCTTAGTTCAAGTTAGATATTTAGTTCTTTTTCTCCAACCTGTCAGGAGAAGAACAAGGTTTTTTTTAAAGAGCAAATACTGAACTTCAGTAGTTAGCAAAAGTCTGGATGCACAGTACAACTTCAGGAATGTCAGACACCTAGCTGGTTATTTCTACAAAGGCAGATCCAGTAGCAACTTTCCTAAGTCTTCTTCAATTTATAGATCAGGAGACATTATCTCACCAGATGCATTTCTTAAAAGAGAAAAACCATAGCTCTGATTCATCAGGATTGTTTGGGATTGTGTCTATAATAGTAACTATATAATGAAAGTGCAAGAATTGCAGTCTGCTCCACGGATACATAATATTAAATCTCAGATTTACCCTATACATACAAGAATGATCAGCTTAGTTTCTTTTCACCTTTCAGACATTCACCCCCTTCACTATTTTATGAGTGTTTCAATCTCAGAAGTCATTGAAATAGACATATATGGACTAATCAACATAGTACATTTAAGCAAAAATCAAAGATCCCAGCAGCTACTAAAAGCCTTATCTGCATCCATGACCTTCCAGCCTCTTCTGTGTAGACCCCCTCCAAAGCTCACAGGACATGCAAGACAAGTCACATTTCCACCTGTGACAACAAGCCTGTTTTTTCTTCATTATCTTCTGCAAGCCTATTAACAAGCCCAGAAGCCATGCAAGGGCTTGCACCACAAGTAAAAGTCACTGAAAGAGCATGCTGAGTGCCAACAAATTGGAACTTGCCTGTATTTGATCAGTCGCCCTCCTTGAAGAAGTTGTGCAACTTCATTAGTCAAGTGGCATGCAAAGAGAAGCCAGTTCCTTGGCTGCACTTTGTAGGCAAATCTCATGAAAGCCAAGGAGTAACAACACAGTGCTGCAAAATATAATAGATATCAGTGGATTATTTTTTATTTTGTTGAGAAATTATTTTCACACCAGCAAAATGTAACAATACACAGAATGCTTCTCACTGGCATTTGAGTTTTCCAGTTGTTACAAACTTATGCATTTTTTCTGCATTGGATCCTTAATGTGGTCAAGTGATAATTTTACTATATAAGAAATTGTGGGGCTGGAATCATCACAAAAAAACTTCATATTGCTGTGGTACAACTGAAGCTTTCTTTAGGTTACGACTTAAACTATCTCAGCTAGAAATTTAAAAATACTCCTGTTAATACCAATGAGATATGGCAACAAATAACTTGACAGATTTCTAGGACAGTATTTTTAATAAGTACTTACTCTGCATATAGTTGTTACTGGAAAAGCTCTTAAAGTTCCCAGATGCACCCAGCCACAAGAAATAATGAGCATTCAGAAGCATAAAGGTTTCTAACCTGCTTTCCAGGAAGGCAAGAAATAGTCTCAATCCACCCTCCTGCTATAACTGCATTTAAATACAGGAAATTACAACCTATTATGGCATCAGTTTTGCAGAGTTCATGCTTTAGCTTTCCAACATGCTTAGAAAGAATAAAAAAAATCTGGAAAATTTTCAAATTAAATTGCTTTTTTTACCCAGGTTCAGAACCTAGAAGATGAAATAAATATTTGTACACATACCACCCCAGGCATACTTGTAAAAAGTACCCTAAAAGTAAACACAGTAGTAAACAGTAAACACAACCAGATGCTATTACCATCACAAGTTTCAATGCTGCAAGTAGCACACACTGAACTATTAATAGTCCTGTGACCTTTTAATTGGAGAACTACTAATTCTGTATATAATTATTCTGTTCTGATTATAAAATGGCAGTTCAGTTATCTGAGTTATCAATTGTAGTGAACAAGAACAAAGTAAAATAGAGTTTGCTACCAAATACTTTTTATTTCAGGCAAGAACTTAGGAGATCCGTTAACGGCTCTAAGAGCCATAAACAACACCTTTCATAAAGGAACTGAATTAGACTTATTCAGGTCTAGCTCATTACTAGACCACACTAAGTTATTTGTACATAGCATGTGGAATCACTTCAAGCTTTTTGGAGTCCAGGAATTTGATGTCTGACTCTACACATAGAAAACTTTTAATTTAAGGACAGCCTAGCAACTAGTTCATATTTATAAACTTTTGTTCAGCTATAAATCAGATCAAATCCAGGAGCAGGAATAAATAGCTGCAACTAAAAAAGGCATTAACAAACATTCATCACTCTCCAAACTTTATCCTGCATTATTCTGTATCTGAATGCCTACATTCAATTATTACTTTTAAGTAATTAGGGTAATAAAAAAAAAGCAAAATCGGCAAATATTTGGAGATATGAGAAAAAACAATTAGTAAGAAAAAGACTGCATTTCTAAAATACTAGGTTTGCTAATGAGCTTCAAGCTACTCAGCAATTGAAGTATGAATTATTTTTTTTTGTGGCAGAATCTAAAGCAACTAGGGTGGAACTACAGTGTGCTCTGTTTCTGTCTTAAGTGTCTGAATTTACTGAGCTGGGTATCTGCCACCAAAAATTATTTGCAAAACACACTCTCACTGTACTGGAGACAATATTTAAGCTGTTCTTTCATCTCTAGGGTAGTAGATTAATAGATTGAATTACTCTAAGTAGAATCTAGTATAGACGAGGCAATAGATTTCCTTAACCCAATGGTATTTTGCGTGGGGGAGAAGAATTATTTGGAATTAATTTGTTAATTCCTTAACGAGTCTAACTGCAATTACACTAGTATTGAAGTACCAGTTTAGTAAAGTAAATTACCTGTTTTATGATAACACAGAAGAACTTAAAATACAGACACTTAGGCAAAGGCTACACACATGCAAAAAAAAGCAGAATAATCGTTGCTTATGTATTTAAAAATGAAATTTTTACATCATATAAAGAGCCATAATAGCCTCCTGACATTCAGGCATCTACTTGGAAGGAGTTGGTCTACCTCAGGTGTTTTTAGCACCCCACAAAGCACTACTGTTTTTTCAATGTCACTGTTTATATTTAAGTCTCACACCAATCACACTGTATCAGTATCCTTGATGCAAAAAAAATGCATGCAGTAGTAGAGTAGTAACTACTAATGCTTGAGTCTGCTGACTAAAACTGTGCATCAGGACTCTGTACAAAATAAAAAAAAGCTGCTGAAAAGCTCTGCGAAAGACTTCACAACTCTGGTAACTCAGTATGAGAGGCCGCCAAGGTCATATAGAAAGATTTTTAATATCTGCATCTGTTCTGATCATCAGTTAATAAGAAATTAATACCACACTGCTTTAAGTGTGGAATTGGTGTTCTACAGTTCACAGAATCACAGAATTGTAGGGGTTGGAAGGGACCTCCAGAGATCATTGAGTCCAACCCCCCTGCCAAAGCAGGTTCCCTACACCAGGTAGTTAGTTCACTGAGAAGATGCTTGACTCAGTACTTACCAAATGTCATTCGGCCACTAATGATTTCTGGAGATTTCTTCATGTCATTAATAGCAGCAACAGGAAGTCCCCAATTGGCTACTGGGCCCCAAAAGTGCTGTAGAACAAAAAAAAAAAAAAGCATTGCAGATACCAGTTAAGCTCATGCTTTTGTCTCCTCCCCATATGGGGATACTAGAGATACTCTAATACTTTGGAATTGTCAGGGGACATTCAAGTTTCTTGCAACTGAAATTTCAAGAGCAACATTTTGCCAGCCTGAATATCAGTTTGTAACATTGTAATTAGACTCTGATTGAAAGCCACGTTTGTTTCCTGTAAGTTTAGGTTGCAATATTGGTAACTTAACTAGAACCTATACAGAAAACTGGAATGTTACATTACACATTGTTTTCATAGTTTGACCTTCCTGCAATATGCAAGAAAGGGTAATATTTCTGTGCCTACAGACCACATCGGCTCAAATTCAGATATAAAGGAGTATTCAGGAGCTGCAAAAAACTTTTTTTTTCCCTGTACTTTTGCTGATAAAAAAATTAACACCTTTAACAGCTAAAGCCTCTCAAGAGAGAAAATGGCATAACTGAGAATAGCTGCATGGTTACATGGTATCCATACTTCACAGGTATGTTTAGATAGTGTAAAGAAATGTATCTTTAACTTATGCACAAAGTACTTGCTGCAACAGAAGAAGAGCATTTACAGTCAGCAGTATGTAGGATACTTTTTTTCCAGTTCTTTAATGAAACTAGTTAAAGGACAGCAAGTGAGCCAACAAGAAGTACCTAATCACATACACGATCTTACTGTGCAAATCATGGCTAAGACAAACGTATCCACATTATCACACTAAAGCACAGCACAAAAGGTAACTGGTGAGACAGTACACATGTGACTTCTACTGTTTAAATAAGACTCCTGAAACAGCAATTTCAGTTTCAGAAAACAGGTCTTTAAGGCTCTAACCCTGTCCACGTTTTTCACACAGAGGGCGGTGATGCACTGGAACAGGTTGCCCAAGGAGGCTGTGGATACCCCATCCCTGGAGGCATTCAAAGCCAGGATGTGGCTCAGGGCAGCCTGGTCTGGTGGTTGGTGACCCTGCACATAGCAGGGGAGTTGAAACTAGATGATCATTGTGGTCCTTTTCAACCCAGGCCATTCTATGTTTACTGGAGACTTCTGGTTTGAAAGGCAGTTCAGGTCAACTTCGTGTTTCTGTGTAACTGCCATTACAACACAGATATACTGCAGACCACTTCCAGCTTCAGTTACACAAACTGAAGATCCATCATCAACCTGAGATGCCACAGCAATAACTTTCCTCTGCTGACCAGGGAGGTAGGTGTGAAGCCCTTTCACTTGAAATAGTTATCCAGTTTTAAGTGCCTTTTGATGTTTTCACAAACAATAATTAAACTACACCTATCCTGTTTGTCTTTGGTCTGCAGAGACGAGCAAGTTTTCCATAACATTATGATTCTTACTATTATGAGCCATCACAACCATATCATTCAGAGCATAACAGGCCTAAAATATCAACTTCCAGGTTCAGGAGCAAACCGAAAGGCTAAGAAAAACTCTGCAGACAGAGTTACATGGTACTATTTATTGTCTCAAGTAAAGCTGGTTAAAAAAAATTAAGTCAAGCAATGTAATTCAGTAGCTACTATGCTACCAGTGTCTCTGCTATATAGCAGAGCAGCTCTAGATAGATAAGATCTCCTTAGCAAAGGGAAAAGACCTGTTGATTTTTCAAGTTATTACTGTGAGACAGTCACATAAAGCCCAGACCTGCAATTACCAGTGCACCACTCCTGGTGCTTTTCACATGCAAGGAACTTCATTAACAGTGCTGAGGCAGAAAAAGTTCACAAGTTACTGAACTCATGCAAGAAAATGAAACAAAGGTCCCCTCCCCACTCCTTACCGTGCTGTTGAAGTGGGCCATCATTGTTTGCCATTCAATAAAGCAAATGGGAGAAAGAGAAACAAAATATTAGTTTCCTTCATAATTCATATATGATTGATGCTCACAAGAAATGAAAGACAAGTCAGTAACTTACCTCGGCAGTAACCTTAGTTAATTTAACTGTTATTTCCTTCAAGAGTTGTTACTATGAGAAATGTTTACTGTTGAAATGTCATTTACCTTGCAGAACAAAAACCTCATTATGATTCATAGAAAGTCTTTCCTGCCCTGCAGACAACAAAGCATCCAAACTCCCATCCTAAGCTAGTTTAAAACAGATGTCAAAAGCCCTCAAGGTTTGTCTAGAACAAAGCTAAACTGCTATAGCTTCACTGTAAAAGCTCTGAAGTCAATGAATTCTCCATATACCTATATTTAAGTAGATTAAACCAAACATTGCCAGAGGTCTTGCTGTCACTAAGCTCAGGCCAACCATGGCTGTATTAGATACAAGCTATAACATTCAGTGACCTAACATGCCATGTACAAACCAGGAATGTACAGGCTTCATTTAAGCCATCACGTAATTACCAGAACTATTAATGCTGATCTATACTACTATTAGTCACTCCCATCATAATGGCTTCCATGATCACTTAACAAATGCCTATGGTAAGTAGACAATCAGGCCTACTTCAGAGGTCAAGCTGAATCTGTGTTACAAGCAGCAGTCTGAATCAAGGTGCACTGTTAGTACATCCTTGATTAACCTAACTGCTTGTTCCACTGCTTTCTTATTAACTGTAGCAATAATCAACTGGCAAGCCAGTTTCACAAGTGCACATTCCACCTTTTTTTTTTTTTTTTTTTGGTAAAATCTTAAAAAAGAAACAAATTCAAACAAGCCCCTTAGCACAATGTTTTTGTGCTAACAGAATCCAACCTTCTTTTTTAAGATGCAAGCTGTTCATGTGTATGCAGAAGCCTAAAATAGAACCACGCTGCCTGCTGCTAACAGTTCCGGCTAAGGTCTTGCAGCCATCCCCATGCTCACGTGAAACTGGAACAGCTATTCTGCCCAGAAGAGGGCAGAACAAGGTCATTCAGCTCCTCCAGAAGCAGACACCCGCCCCAAAGCTCTACAGCCAACAAAGCTGCAACAAATGCTACAGGATCCTTACTGCAGATACAGGGCAACTGCATATATCTACTCCTGAAGGGATACCACTCCAAATCTGTAGCTTCCAACAATTACATTCAATCCCGTGAAAAAGACAGCATTTTGTACTAAAATGTCAAACCTTGATATGCCAATCAGCTTGTTTTAAACTAACATTGCTGTTGAAGTTTACAAGAAGGAAAAGAAGCCGTACTTAGAACTTACGTTCTTATGACGTTTACTTTAAAACCTCAAGACATAATTAGGGCAAATCTATATTTACATGATTTACAGTCATTCACATCCCTATTAAACACCACTTCAGAGAAGCCAGAAGTGAAATTGGCAGAACATTTAATTATTTATGACAGTTTTAAAAGCAATTTATCTTTTCTTTGTGCGAGATCCAGAAGCTTGCTCATGATGTAATGCCAGACATAGCCACCTGAGAAAAGCAGTATGTGTTCACTAAATCAGCTTTTGAGTTATGGAGCTGAAACTGAAGCTACTTACCCTGATGGACCTCTGCAAGGACTGACTACCCTAAAATATAACAGCTCACAACTCACCACATAGTCAATTCTGCTGCTTTGGGCAATTGTGGTTATTCTATCAAAGGTCAAGCATGAAGATGTACAACCTAAGTGTTGCAAGCAGGATCTCCAGTCACTGTTTCACACGAAGAAATTACACACTTGAAAGCCTCACTGTAATTACTGACGTGATTAGATACTGATTTCTAGAGCAGACAGCATAGACTCATAGCTTTGCTTTAAGAGTGGGGCAAGAAAGGAGTTTTGTGCAAGATGCAGAGCCCTCCAGTAGGCTGGAGCTCTCAGGAAAGAACATACTGGGATACAGCCGTTAAGTAGACATACTGTGTTTCCACTACAGCGGAAGACTGCAGTCTTTTATTGACAGTTAGCTAAACTCTAAGCACCATACGAAGCACAAACAAGAGCCTATACTGCTTTCCTAGGGCAGGAACAATGCTGAAAGGCTGCCCTGGGTGGTTCAACTGGCTTCGTGGCACGCCCAGTAATAAAATGACAAAAGACAGAACCCATTCCACAAAGCAAGAATCCTGTGCATGTTCAGATAACTGAACTTTGTTTACTTCAAGAGGAGAACCAAGATGAAATAGTTTTTTTTTTTTTCAGCTGCCTTTAAGTCTTTGATAAGGAAGACGATACTTCAGCAGATAACCTTGGTGATGTCAGGGAGCAATTCATCCTTCTAAAAGCTAGTCGCTTTCCTTTATTACAGAGCAGACCGATGCACTACTACTGCATACACGCTCCCAATGAATACCAGCACAATAACAAAGTGTCAATGTCACAAAGCATCCACCGAACTTACAGGATACCCTCAGAACTTCCAGAAGGAAGCCCTGCTGAGGCCTGCTCTGGCTGCCATCTCGCTGTGAAGGTGTTCTCGCTCCTCCCGCATTTGGGTCACTGCTTTGGCGTCGCTTCCCACCTCTCACAGAGCCCCACGCCGCAGGCGTTCTGCTCACCGCAGAAGCTCTCTCCCACACAGACCCACCCCGCCCGCCCCAAGCAGGGCCGTTCCTCACACCAGCAAGTGCCCTCCAACGGGCTCGCACAACGAACAGCGGCCGCAACAGCTGCGAGAGGCACAGCGAGAGCTTTCCTAACGTCATTAGCAGAGCTCCGCCGAGCCTCGCAGCCCATCCGTCCGTTGCTGCCGGTACCCCGCTCCTACCCGCCCGCCTCAAGGTCAAATGCCGGGTGGGACGGCATCCGCCCGCCGCTCACCTCATCAGATAGTCTCGGAACTCCTTGCTGCGCACATAGTCCGCGGCCTTACGGGCCAACGCCCCCGCCATGGCGGCCCGGCAGCAAACGGGCTGCGCCCGGTTCGCCTGCAGCCCTCGCAGAGGACGGCTCCCCCGCGCCGCCGCCGCCCGCTTTACGGCAGCGCCCGCGCCACCGCCCTCTCCGTCAGCGCGGCGCTCCCCGCGCTCATTGGCCGCCGCGGTCCCGCCTCCCGCCCGCTGCGAGCCGAGCCGGTAGAGGCGCTCAGAGCCGAGGGGAAGGCGGACCGCCGTAAAGCAGCGTGAAGAAAAGGAGAGGGAGCGATCGGGAAGGGCGACGCGAAACCGCTCTCGGCTGAGCCGCCGGCGTTCCTTAACAGCCCGCGGGGGCGGAGCCCTGCAGAGCCGCTATTGGACGCGCGGCTCGGCTGCTGGCTCCTCATTGGCTGGGGAGGCTCTCCTTGAGGCGGCGGTTGGGGCGTGTGGCGTCAGCTTGGACGGGGGGGGACAGGGGGGGGTGCGCGTAGAGCGTTGGGGTGGTTTTCTGAGGGTAATCCCGTTTGTAAGAGCCCAGAGCGCGAGCTTCGGGTTTGCGGTCAGAGAGCGCAGGATTCAGCCTTCCCCCGTGGCGCTCAAGACGCGGGACCAGGCGCCCGCAGGCACTTTCCATTTCCTGCCTTCGCAGATTTTTGCTTGTTTAGACTTGCAGATAAACTCTAACCCTGCTATAATACCTTCTCCATATAATTTGGGTCGGTCAAACAAATACCCGTATGTGAATGACTCCTTATCTTTGCTCAGTGTACTGGAGATAGTGAAAATGGATGTTTATCTGCTCCGACTGCTTTCCCAAGACCTGCAGCACCTTTACCACTGGGCCGGCAGCTGGGTGCAGCTTCTTTGGACCTGCTCCAGCACCTCAATGTCCCTTCTGTACTGAGGTGCCCAAAACTGAACATAGTACTCGAGATGAGGCCTCACCAATGCTGAGTACAGGGGCAGGATGACTTCCCTAGTCCTGCTCACTGCATCATTCCTGATACAAGCCAGAATGCCATTGGCCTTTTTGGCAACCTGGGCACACCGCTGGCTCATATTCAGCCAACTGTCCATCAGTATACCAAGGTCCTTTCCCATCAGGCAGCTTTCCAGCCTCTCCTCCCCAAGCCTGTAGGGTTGCCAGGTCCTGCATATTGACCAATATGCAGGACCTGACACTAGGCTCTATTGAAACTAATGCAGTTTGCCTTGGCACATCAATCCAGTCTATCCAGGTCCCTTTGTAATGCCCTTCTCCCTTCAGGCAGATCAACACTCCCTCCCAACTTGGTGTGGTCTGCAAACTCAATCCCCTCATCAAGATCATTAATAAAGATGTTAAATAAGTGATCCCTGTACCGAGCCCTGGAGGACGCCACTCTTGATCTGCAGCCAACTGGATTTAACTTCATTCACCACAACTCTTTGGGCCCAGCCAACCAGCCAGTGTTTCACTTCTTATGTTTTCCTTGACCTTGTGTAAGGAGAAGGAAAAAATCTTTCACCTGCTTGGGAAAACAGTGTTCTTTAGTCTTTCTTCCAAGAATACACAAGCCCATTCAACCCTGTCTCACATGCTGTGCCTTTTAAATCTTTTATCGCTTTCCTTACTCCATCCAGACTCTTGTTTACAGCTTTCCAACGTGGTTCACAGTGTTTGAGTGAAAGCCTTCCCAGCAGTGCAGAGTCCTCTAATTCTGAGGTATCCCACTTTATTTTCAAAACAGTTAATAGAAAAATCATTAACTAGATGTGTGCCCAGAAGACACCAGCCCCAAGTGACAAGCCCTAGCAGCTGAGCAGCAAAAGCAGCGAACAATAGTTTGAAGTGGGCTTTTGCTGCAGTTCTGTATATATTTATAGCAGTTATATTTACATTCCATTTTTCAGGTTTCTTGTATCATATGGGACTGTGTCAATAGCCAAACCAACTCAACCCTCCCCCACCCCAAAAAAAAAAAAAAAAAAAACCACCAACAACCCTTAATTTATCATATTCACAGCTTCCCTGTTATCCACCAAGACTGTTAAACAGAGAAATTAGATTGATTTTTCATGATTTGTTTGTGGCAAGTCCATGCTAGGTGAACTTTTAAGTACTTTGCTCCCTGACTGTTTCCTGTTATTTAATAAGTTATTCTAGTGAGCTTTTTGGCTGTTAGTTACACCATTTGACTTATAATTTACTGACCCCTTTTCCTCAGACACTTGGTCTTCTCAAATGCTTTTGGACTGTCCCATTCTCTCCATGAGTTGGATAATGATCACTGGTGATCTCAAGTTGCTTTTGCTAGGGTCTGGTGACTATTAGAAGTGAGGTCCCACCAGACATCTAAAATTTATTTCAACCTCCCCCATTTTTTTTCCTGCTCTGAACAATCATGCTACCATTCTTCACTCATTATTTAGACCTATTGGAGTTACTGTCATACTTCTGCATTTACTTTTTGTGGGCTCTTTCTGCATTATTCAGTATCTGCAATTTTCTTTGTTGTATTTTAATTTCTATTGCTTTTATCAAACTTCTTTAGTCGTCTTCTATGTCCCATGACAGTTGAAACTGATTTCATGCCTTGCCATATTTGATTCTGTTTTCTGCAGGCTGACACTCTTTGTTTGGTTTTTGTTTGCATCTGTTATGTCTTTTTTTTTCTACTAGTGCACGTTCTTTTGCTGGTGCCCTTGAATTCCCTTCCTTGTTTTTAGCAGGTAGACTCCTCCCATTCTCCAACAGTTAGTCTCCATGGGACAGTCTCCAGTAACAGTGGAAATCAAAAGCTTTCCCTAAATACTATCCGTACAGCTCATCAACTCTTCCTGCCAGCACACATCTGACCTGGCCTCACCTGCACCTGCAGCTGGTGGGATGGATTGGCACCTTCAGCTTGGCTCCTCCAAATCTGTAGTGCTAGCACACCTAGCACTGGCATTTTTGCACACATGGACACATATGTAGATATGCGAGGTGGAATAAACCTTAGTCATTTTTCACAGTATCTCAGATTTTGGCTATGACAGAAGGCGTGGTGTTGGCTTGACAACTCTGCTTAGCAAATGGCTGATGTATTTCCCTCAGAAGGGATTTGCCATATCTCAAATCCTCCATTTCTGTGTGCAGTTTGGCAGGGGTAAACCTCCCAGCTAAAGGACCATCCTGTTCTCATCCCAAAACTACTGTTGAGGAATGCATACTTCCTGATGTCAGCAGATGCAGGTCCAGTTGCTGTATTTTTCTCCATTGAAATGAAACCAGTCAATGAAACCAGTGAAGAAAAAGTTGTGCTGTGGACATCACAGAACTGAAGAAATGGTGCACCAATGTTAGTCAGTAGTCGTACTTCTGATGTAAGACGTGATATCAGTCCTACAGGATATATGTATTACAATTACTGACAAACACCTGCATGGAAAAGCAATGATGCTTTGGAACTGAAGAAACATGTGATTTGGAGTGCTGCATGACAGACAGGGGTACAGCACGTAAGCTGTTAAGTGCGCTGTGACTTCAGAACTGAGTTAGGTATTATTTGCCTGCTGTTATACTCCATAGATACAGAAAAATAAAAAGATGAATAAGATGAACTGCTACATGAATTGCAATCTTCTGTGGTAATGAAATTACTTCATTAAGGTCAAGACAAGTCGTCTGGTAGGAAGATGGGAAGACTGACTCAAGCCATTGACTATGACATTTAGTTAGCCTGCAGTATCAAGTGGAGCCAAGCTAGAGCTCAGCTTGATGTGACATCTGCATTTGTCTTCCTATTTTTGATTACAGATGTGTTATCTCTAGGAGCTGGTGTGCTGTTTGAGAAGTGTTATTCCATGTGGAGTATACAGCACTAAATTCAAGTTGACTGGGCACCTCAAAATGCTGAGTTGGGAGGCTGCCTTATGTAAATAATGAATGCACTCTGTAAGATGCATGGTCAGTCTGACACATTGGCAGAAACATCCTTTTGGAAATGAGTTTAATATTAAAGAAAATTGAAATAAAGTGTATAGCAGGTAAATTACTTTAGAAGGAACTCTATCTTATTTTATAAATATTTTTAAATATGCAGACACACTTTTCTCAGCCCAGAGAAGTACAGCAGCTCGCAGGTTGCAGATCTCACAATGAATCTGCAAGCTAATTAGTTTAATTGCAAAACCTGATTAGTTAGGATTAATTTTTACATAGTGGAGCTACATGTATTTCATCATCTGCAGCTCTTAGTAGGATCTGATGTTGGAGCAAGGATAAAAAAACATAAATGCCAAGGAGGATAAGAAGACAATGATGTAATATTTATAAAATCACTGCAAAGAAGACCCATATTTATAATTAGCCAAAGGAACACTGTGTTGTGGGAATTAAAGGGGACAAGGTTGAGAAGGGAAGAGTAAAATAGATACAGAATGGATCTGACAAAGAGTTTGGATTGCTGGGCAGCCAAGAATCAGCTGGCAGCAGGAACTGAAGCAAGAGGATACAACAAAGAAAAAAAGTATTTTGTCAGCATAGAACGTAAGCTATTTCTGGTAGTTGGTGCAATTATCACTGCCTTTCCCTGCTTTCCCTACAGAAAGACACAGCTGTCACTGGTTTTGGTCAGGCGGGCCTGAACATGTGAAACTTCTATTCCCACTATTATGAACTATATTGAGCAAACTCTGGCCCTGTCACGGTCTGTTGAGTGTAAGTATAGAAACTCCAACCAAACAAAATTCTCCTATGCCTTTCCATACTTAAGCTTATGATAAAGCCATTGCTTAAGCCCAATTTCCTCGTGGCGGTTTTTATCCCTGTAAACCAAGCGGTTGTAGACAAAGAGTGCACCCCACACAGGCAGCGCTCAGTACGCGGGGTGTGTGCTGAAGGAGGCAGAGCTGCAGGGCAGCTGGAGGATGTGGCTTCTCTGGGATGAGTCCTAAATTAGTCACACACAATAAAACAGCCAGCCAGACTTCATGCTGTATTCACCTCCAGTATTTTTGGCTGTTTTTTTTATCTGATCTTTTACCGTTATGAAGACTAAGCTGATGTTAAGTGTTTTAAGATTTATTTTCCTGGGCTAAAGAACATCTCTGCATTTTATTTATTTAACAGTGCT